AAAAAAAAAAAAATATATATATATATATATATTTTCGTTCGATTAATTTTCTTTCTTGGGATTAGTCGAAGGTTAAAAAAAATAAAAAATTTATTCAAACACGAATCCTCAAAGCAAAGAGCGAAGAGAAGAGAAGAAAGTCATGGCCAATCGAGAGATGAAGGAAAAAATCGAGAGCTTTGAAGGCCAATTCAAAACCATGAGCGAATCTATTGATGGAAGGTTCGAAGACATAACCAGAGAGCTTGTCGACACCAAGGCCGCCCTAACCGATCACCGCACGGCGTTGATGGAGGCCATCAACCAAAGGTTCGACGAGGTGGCGCACCACCTCCAACACCAAAAGGGATGGCCACCACCGTAACCGCACGGACGCGAACGACCCTAGAAGCACAAGCCGAGTAGGACCAATGTTTCGAAGGAGTCGATACCACGCGGCAAGGCCCAAGACAAGTCCAAGAAGGAGACGAAGGTCGAATTGGTCAAGCACGATAAGTATGAGGTGGAAATTATGGTTGAGTCGGTTGAGTGCGAGAAACCGCACTCGTTCAACAAAGAGGTTATGAGCGAGGCTGATGGATTCAAGGATAAGGAGGGCCATAAAGAGGTTACGTTCTAAGTGCTAAAGGTCGAAGAGGAGGCGATGTCCCAACTGACTATCGATGCCAAGAGTAAAGTCTTGGTCGAGAAGGACCGTGAATGGGATGCGTGCGCGCTTAAAGAAAGAGTGCCCGAAGTTTGGATGTTCTATGATGAGTCCTTCAGGGCAAGGACATTCTCAAAGGGGGCGGGAATGATGCGGAAGTGGGTTTCGAGCCCCAACGATGAGAATGTCCAAGAGCGGATAAGGCTCGAGAAGGCCGAGAAAAGGGCCAAAACCACGCATGCATGGCCTAAGAGACGACTACGAGCCCGTATGCAGGGCACAATGACGGCAAGGAAGAAGGCCAACGAAGGTTGCGCAGGGCGATGCGCGAGGGTACGCAAAAAGGCATTCCCAAGACGGGCAACATTCAAGCGC